GGCTTTCCAGGAGCTTGATGGGCAGGGATTTAACAAAGTTCAGGTCAATTTCAGACTCATTTCCATAATCTATAAAAAGAACAGAGACTGTTTTAGAATGTGTATTGATAACCTGTGCACGGTACCATAGCTGATCAGTAAAGAGTGCCAGGCATGGTCCGTGGCATAACTGATCTGGCTGAATTGGTTTGGTTTGACAAGAGTTTCCCATTTCTTGTGCAAGCAGGGAGATTTTGTCAAGTTCCTCTGAGTTTTTGAACTGGCACCAGAAGTAATTTGGTCCAACGATAGATGAAGCATATGCATCTACAATTTGTCCTTGAGTTAAAGCTGGATCCTTGAATGTGAACGGCTGGGTACCGTCATTGCAGTGCATTTGGGATTCAGGTTGAGCACCTGGTTTGAGAACAGCATTAAACAAAGGCCCTTCCTCAAGTTCTAAACTAACAATCCAAGCAGATGCATCCTTTTGGATGAACTTGCATTGAATTTTCTTCTCACCATTTTCACCTGCTGCTTTTTTGAAAGTCATTATCTCTTCCTGGGTCCAACCTCTTTTTCCCCTTCTACCATCTTCAAGTGTGCAATGAATACTGAACCTGGGGGAGCTGAGGAACTGCTTGCCAAGTTGCCTTATTTTAAGGGGCAGGAGTGTTGCCTCATTGCCAAAGTCAATAAACTGTACTTGAACCATGCCATTTTTCTTGTTTTGAACAACAGCACGATACCAGGTACCATCAGCAGTATATTCAGCTACCACCAGGTCACCTGACTGCAACAAGTCTAGTTCAACTTGTGCATCACTTAACTGAGCAGAATTAAGTTGGTCGAGAAGGGAAAATATTTCACCTTCATCACTTGCCAATTGTACAAAGAAACTTGATGGACTATTACAATGTGAAACATAGATGTCTGAAACATATCCTGCATCCAAGGCTCTCGAGGGAAGATCGGTGAGCTTTGGATAATGACATGACACTTGTTGCTGTAAAAAATTAGGCCTAGCTCTACTGTGTCCAGTTGTGTGACTAGTAACAGTCTGGAAGTTTTGTTCCAATGTGCCTTGAAAATCTGGTTTCGGGACATTCTTAGAGGTCTTCTCATGTGCTTTTGATGTAGTGCTGAAATTGCGTCTCACACCTCTAGACTCCACGCCTTCTGAAGACGTATTGAAAGTATGAGCCTTTTCCGTTCCTTTGCTGATGTTAAACCCTTTTCTTTTGGACTTTTGGTTCCACTGCACTTTAATTTTTGAGTTGAGGTTGGTTTTCTCATCATACATCTCCACTGATAGTTTGCCTGAAGAATTTTGTTTCACAATGACAGTGAACATGCAGTCTGTAGCGTAGTTTTTAAACCACTCATTAAGCTCACATGGCTCAGGTAATGTTACATTGAAAAGTTCAAACTGAACAGCCTGAATGGGAATGGATGCAATTGCACTAGCCTTTGGAGGAAGTGGCAGAACATCAGATTTATCCAAAACCACCAGGTCACCATAGTCTACAAATTGGACAAGTATCGGATGCATTGATTCAATTTGTCCTCTGTGCCACAGCCCATCGGCGTATTTAGCAAGACACATCATCTTAGGGTAAATTGAAAACTTTTCTTGTGGTGGCTTGCGGCACAGTTGTTGAATATCTTTGGTCATTTTCCTGACTGTATCAGTATTTTGTGCAAAATGACCATAGAACTGATTTACACTTTGGACACAGGTTATTTGAACCGTCTCCTTTGCGCCCACTTCAGTTTTGGGTGGTGAAACAACATATGCTTCATTCTGAAAAGGTGGAGCTGCAGTGACATTCGATGAGGGACGTCCCTCTGCGGGTTGTAGGTTTTTTCCAATTTTGGAAGGTCTGGCTACAGTGACATCTTTAAGAGAATCGGAGCACTCAGTTAAAGTGGTTGAATCGAGAGAATGTACAGGCACATTTCTCCCATACATATATTTGTGTGCCACTTTGTTTAGAGTCTCAAGAGTTTGGTCACCACAAATCCTATCAGTCGTTGACAAACACTGCTCTCTGTGGCCAAAAGTGTCGTTTACATTCACATTGTCATTTCCATAAAGCCTTATATAATAGACACCCTCATTTGCACTGTAATGCTCAAATTTTCCAACAAGGATTTGATCTAGTACAACAGATTTCAGATAATCTATCTGTTCTGTCCTCCATCCAATGCCTTTGTCAATGACACCATGTAGAGAGCATGCATAGGTGACAACTGGCAATTTGAAGAACCTTGCAGATAAAGGTCTGATATTGCAGAGTTTAACAAAATCTCCAATTCCATAATCGACATGAAAGACTTTGACAACATCGGAGACATTGTTCTGCTGAAGTACAGATCGATACCACTTGCCATCACTTCCTTTGGTTGCACATGGAGACCCGTCATACAGCAGCATTGGCATCTGAACAGAGAATGAGTCTTCATAGTATTCATGGAGCTGATCACTTAATTTCTTGAGCTCTTGTGAAAAGACATGCAATTTGCAATAGATTTTCAATGGATGAATAACTTGTGTCACAGTTACGATCTCAACTGCTCCAGACAACAACTCAGGATACAAGTATTGATGCAACTTGTCAGGGTCACTGGCATGCTCCTGTTGACCATTTGTAGTCACAAGGTCAGTCTGTATGGAAGGGTTTCTTCTTGGCAAATGCAGTGAATGCATTACAAGGCTTTTAAAGTCTTTGTTAGGCATCTTTCTAGCAAATCCAAGTTCATACATTTGTTTGGATAGACTAGGAATGTCAAGAATGATGATTCTGGAAGGCATTATCACATCCTGAACACACCCAGAGATGTCTTTCCCACACAAAGATTTGATGACCGTTGATGCAGCCACAGACCATGCACTCTCAAGACACAAAGCTGACGCACTGGCCAGAATGCAAAGCTCTACTTTGGGAGGTAGACTGCAAAGGTTGTGTGGACATTTGGTCAAAACTTCGCTTGAGACCCAAAGTAATTTACCATCATCAATGAGGAACACCTTGCATTCATGTTCAGATTTTGAAAGTATCCTTGCTCTGTGCCAAGTTTGGTCTTCATATACCAAGCAAACTTCTCCGGGTTTGCCTTCAAAAGCATGCTGCCGCTTCCTAGGGATTTCAAGGTCTTTTTTAAGGTGTTGATATGCTTCCCTGTTTTCTTGTCCATTATTTAAACTCCCTCCAAATTCCACTAAGACAGTGTGTGGGTTTAAATTGACTCTTGTGATATGAACAGTCGTATTGGATCCAACTTCTGGCAAACCAGGAAATGAACACATCTTGGTTGAGAATCTTCTCTCAAAATGGTTTAAGAGCAGAAATGGGGAGAATCTGAAGGAAAAAAGAGAAAATAACAGTTAAAAGATTAGTTCACCCCCAAAAAAATAAAAATAATAATTAAAAAAAAAAATATATAAAATCCTCACTTGGGTTTCTTTCCCATACAATACAGAGCTGAAAGTAATGATAATAAATGGATTTCAATTAACTTCAATGAATGGATTATCAAAATAATTGACATTTAGGGAAAAAAAAAAAAAAAGTCTTATTCTGTGTATTTTATTTAAAAAACAAAAAATAAAAACGTTTTTCTACATCATGCCTAATGTTGTCCTAAAAAAAGTAACAATTGAAGATTATGAAAACGAATATATACTCATTCAGTGACGCCTGTTAAGTTTAATGGAAACTTGCTGTCAGGACGAGCCTTTATGCAAAATGGAAATACTTGCATGGACTTCCAACATTTACAAATAAGGATATAAAAGCAAATTATAATTTGTCTCAAACAGTACACGTACAGTATCTTTCAAATCACCTGACAGGACAAAACATGTAAAACTATTTGCTGTCGATTTTTTTTCCATTATAGAATATAATCAAATCAAATTGTCTGTGTCTGTACAAAAAAAAAAGAGAAATGGATGAATTGTTCACAATTAGATCTATAGCTTGCATTTAGAAACTGTATGACAACTTGAATTGTCAATGTATAGAAAAGAGCTACATAGAAAGTCACTTTAATATTTTGTTCAATAGAAAAATAGCAGCATATGGGCTTGGATCCTTGGAAATGAGGTTAAGTACAGTAAATAATTACAATTTTATGAATTAACCCTTAAAGTTATTCACTGCATTAAATGATTCCATTTATATAGTGACCTAAAGATACAACCCATAACACAAAACATTATAATAATAAATCAAATGTTAGTCAACCTGTTGATGACACATGCAAACAAAAAAAACGCATTATTAAGCAGTAGAATAAAATAATCACAATACAGGATCTATTTAAAAGTTAGATCGACAAACCAAAGGGGGAAAAATCGAAGTCAAAGAACAAACTATACAATAGAGGGAATGTCTGGACCTGCCATCGCATAAAATAAGCTAACTAGGAGTTACAATTACTAATTTAGCTGCATACCTTTATCCAAAGCTAGAGATGTTGTGGCTTATTCAATGGCTCGTGAATCTTTGGGTTTAAACCTAAAAACCGTTTTAACTCGTTGATTCGACCTCCTACTCGAAACCAACGATGAATTCGTCAAAGAAAACTTACCAAGGTGAATTTCTCCCCATCACATACACGAATACCATGACTTTTCCAGCGCTTATCAAGTCAACCGAATACAAACAAACGCGCTTGAAAAAACGCCACTGGATTTTTTTAACGAATCAATCACGTCGACGTCAATTAAGAGCGCGCGTCACGTGATGAACGCATGATTAGTTGAATTTTTTGCAAGGTAAATTTTGATACTTATCTCCTATAAAAACGAATTCATCTGCCTCAAAATCAACAAATTTAAATATACTTACTTATACAAAAATTAGCATTATAACTGTCTTAAGTCAGCTCAGTCTCATTGGCCACAATGGACAAAAAATATAATTCATCATAGAAAGACTATTTACACTGTTTGTAGGAGATCAACAGGTGACTTTAAAGTACTAAATTATATTTTAGCGAAAATAAAACGGTTAATGTGGTGATTTGCGGTCAGAATATTCTACAAAATACGTTTATGGACATAGCATAAATAAGCACATGTGGTCTGAAGTGATATTCGGAGGGTGGAGTTTGTTGTAGCAGCGCGCCGTCTGTTAACCAGGAAGTCCTCAATAAGACACATTCATTTTCCAGGTGCAGAGGAATGGGTAAGTATAATCATATACGTGATTAATTTAATATAACTCATGCGCTGTTAAATTGTGTGTGCGTACGCGATTTAAATGTAACAATTGGCTGTACACCTGTTCATCCATGTCTGTAGAATTATGTGTTGGCATGTTCGCATCTATTGTTCCTCTTTGTGATGCAGCATATGTGCTTATTAAGGCATTTCAGTGACATTTTAGAATAGTTTCTGACATCAGATATGAACCTTCTTTCTTAAAATATCATGTTTCATAAAACTGTGCAGAATTAATAGCCAAGTTATGCAGATAAACTGTTTGACAGCATTAGGATTGCTTCCAGATGCATGCTGATGTGTTTGTGTGCTCCTCCTGCGCTCTAGGCTGGGTATATTTCTGCCATGAATAAGAGGAAGTCTTGTGTCCACAATGTTGTAAAACCATCTAAGACTCCTAGGACGGATGGTAAAACACATGTCCAGGATGAGGAGGAGGTTGATGAGGAGGATGAAGAAGTCCAGCAAGATCACTCACTCTCTGCTTCGGTCAGTTTGGTGATTTCCTGAAAGGTCCTGACATTACTAAATGTTATAGTGACGGTTCTGGTTTAAATAACATTTATCTTGCGTTGTTCCAGAGCGTGGGAGATATTGGCGTGATAGAAAGTATCACTTTGAGGAACTTTATGAGTCACCATTTGCTTGGACCTTTCAAATTTGGACCAAATGTAAACTTCATTGTTGGGAACAATGGAAGTAAGAACTATCACTGATTTTTGTTTTCATTGGATTGAATTAATAAAATACTCATGATTTACAGTACCAGTCAAACATTTGAAAACACTTGAAAGCATTAAAAATAAATTGTGCCTGCATATGAGATTCTTTACAAAACTTTTTTTAACCCTTCTGTTGTGTTCAGAAGCTGGGTACAACTTGTGTATTGGGGTCAAATTGAAAACTGACCACATTGGTTTCCCTGCAATTTGCCAAAAAGTAACATTATGAAAAACATAATAAAACATTCATATAAAAACAGAAAACCTTGTCAGATACTAAAAATAACTCGTATCTGTTTTTGTGTTATTTCTATTGTGTCAGGGGACACAAAATGTATTTATTTATTTTTTGTCACAAGTACTTATAGCGACTATTTGTACACTGTAAATAGTATTTATTGCTATTTGTACTTCCTCTGAGTATTTATTTTTAAAATTATATTAAAAAATATATATATATATTTTAAAAAGTTCTGATGTATTTCAATTTTAATGTATTTATATTTTAGTGTTTGACAAGTTACAAAAAAGTAGTTTTTGCCTGACACTTTAGTGTTGAGTTTTTGCAGATTGCATGGAAAAAAATCTGGGTCAATGGGGGAATTTGAACAGCCTTTTCAAAACGCATATATGTGTCGAACATATTTTGCATGCACATTCATGACCCTGAATGAAAAATATTCACAAAATTTCAAGAAGAAATAAATAGTTTAAACAGTAATTCGAGCAGTTTGAAAATCAAGTGTATGTCAAATTGACCCCAACACAAAAGTGGCTGTTGTTTGAGAGGATAATGAAGGAAAAGTTTGAAAAATGTGGTTTTGTTTAGAAAAACATGAAACAATATGGGTTATTGCTCAAAACAGTCTTTTCTCAATGCATGTTTTTTTTTTTATTCCACTCTAAGCTGGGAAAAGTGCTATTCTGACAGCTCTTATAGTGGGTCTTGGTGGAAAAGCAACCACAACCAACAGAGGAACATCTTTGAAGGGCTTTGTGAAATATGGAGAGAGGTTAGTATATTTTAGAAGAAAAAATGCAGTAATATTTCTTCAGAAGATAATGTTATTTTTAGGGATGTAACGATTCACTCAACTCACGATTCGATTCACGATTTTGATTTCACGATTCGATTTTCTCACGATTTAAAAAAAAAAGAGATTGAAGACATTATACAGTAAATGAAAAGGTGTCGTTTTATTAGGCTATTGCTGCACGTTTCTTTGTGAAATTGAAATATAACACTATAATAATATACTAATATCAACCGGCTCGCAGTTAATCGTTACATCCCTAGTTATTTTTATAAGCACTCCGATTCTTTTGTGTACAGTTTTGCAGACATTAAAGTGAAATTAAAAAACAGAGGGAACGACCCCTATAAAGGTGACATTTATGGCGACAGCATCTGCATTGAGCATCGGATCACAAGTGACGGTTGCAGGACTTGTAAAATCAAGAATAAAATTGGTAATATCATGACTTCCTCCAGCTCACAGATAATATCAGAATTCAGGACTTCCTCATTTATATTCAGATTTTTTTAGGCCATGTCGTTTCCACAAAGAAGGAAGAGTTAACTGCTATACTGGACCATTTCGGCATCCAGGTACTTTTGGTGAAAAAAAAAAAAATA